CTAAGCCCTTTCTAGTTACGCACAAAAGACTCTATAAAAAGACAGTATGCTGGATATAAGGTGCTAATTAAGATTTTTTAAGCCGGTGAAGTTTTTACTGTTAACTTAAGATTACAGGTATTCGGAGTATTAATAGCCTATTGTAATCCTCCTTCCAGAAATAAATATCCATTCTTCTTAATCTTAAGGACGTCTGGGTGGTTAGGTATTGCCGGAGTTTAATGCAGAAGATTGTGGATGCCGTTGCACGAGGAGGGAAATAGGGCTAGGGAGCGGGCCGTGTTGTAGAGAGAGCCCTATACACTTCGGCTCGCTGCCAAAACTTATGTGGAGTATTGCGCAGTTGCACAAATAGGATTATCTCTTTTGGTGTGTTGGTTTTGGGCAATTATCTGTGTCTGCTATTAGCTATTACAAAATTATTAGCGACAACCAATTAATATTATTAGTACGCGGGCGGTAGGATGCAGGCGATTTGGGTAGATTAGGGAGAAAGTTGGTTAGTTAAGGGAAAGCTTACAGCGTTGGTACGGGGGACTATTTTCCCCACGATATTATAAGGTATATTCGTGTGGGAAAGGGTGCCAGTGCAATAGAGTAGGACTGATAAGGAATTGTGGTGCTAAAGGAGTCGTTCGCGGCTTTAGAATAGAGGGCGGGTTTAGGGGTATAAAGAGTTCTAAGCTAGAAACGGTTATAGCACTACGCACTGCCTTGTTTTGCTTGGTAGCAGTTAGATATATAGGCGGAGTTTGGAGTTAGAGTCTGGAGTAGGGTAGTTAAGGGCTGGGGCCGGCGATATCGGGTTAAAACTGGGCGCCCGGCAAATTCCGCCGCGCTGGCCTTTGTTGCAACTTAATACCTTATGTAGCCTGCGACACCACCACACAAATATTGCCTCTCGTGCGGTTAGATCTTTTTCGCATTGTCTTTCCGCCTTCCCAACGCCATAAGTCCTGCCGACGTAACTACGTAACTTACCTCCTACCTGCAGACTAACTCCTTAAGCCGCACAGAATAATACCCTTATCCCTTCTCCGTCCCGTTAATCGCGCTTCGAAGCGCAAATGCTCCGCCCACAATTATTACCCAGCCCGGGTCCGAGTCCGTTAACAGTACCACACCGCCTGTTACAATTGAGACCTTCGAGACCTTAAGCTATCGTAAGCTCTCGAGGACAGCGGCAGGCCTGTCTGCCTGCAGCCAGCCACAAGGAACTTCTGCCGCGGCTCGGTAACCTAGACTCGTCTATAAGCCGAGATGGGCAAATACAGACGGCTTTCTCAAGACAGCTCGAACGCTAGCGGTCGGAGCAACGCGCGAGCGCCATAGAGACTAAGGAGCAGCAGTACTATTAAGCCTGGAGGAGGCTGCTTAAAACTGTAAAGCCTTCGCTAAAAGGGGGAATAGATATAAGTGTGAAAGACAGCCTTTACTCCTTAATAACTTTAGGGCCCTCGAGGACTCGCGCTTAGAAACGGCCTTAGAACACGGAGACTGCCGCTGTGGCAAAGGAGCTAGCCATAGCCCGGGCAACTCTACGTTCGCGACTATCCCTATTAAGTTAACAAGAACGACAATAAGCATCCCAACTATAGTAGTAAGGGGGCGAAGACTAGTCTAGCTTAGTCTAGCTTCGCCATCGCAGCCACCGCTGAGAACTTTAAATCTTTTAAAGTTCTTAGCGGTGGCGGTCCCCCTAAAAAGTGCTACATAAAAGTATTGCAGCCAGCACGTGATACTCTTTAGTCCTGGACTATTTCCATAACAATCGATGCAGCGCGGCTGTTGGCCCCCACACTAAGGATTTAAATTCGCCAGCGGAATGCTAAAAATTATATAATTTTTAGCGTTAAATCTTGAAAGTCACGGGATTACTGTTTTCGCTCCTGTAATATCCCTTACCCCAGCCCGGAAATCACGCCCAAACGGAACGCCACAATTCTTCGCCTATTAAAAACGAAGGACGGTGTGAGCCGCGCCTTAAACAGAAATCTATAAGGTTCCGTCTAGGCATGAATTCCGGGCTTAGGTGAGGAGGGACGTTACATCGCCCCTCGTTCAGTAACTTCCGTCGTGCGATCCCCCCTTATACGATCCCCCTCTTATACAATCCCCCCCTTATGCGACCCCCTCCCTTGTGCGATCCCCCCCTTATGCGACTCCCTCCCTTGTGCGATCCCCCCCGTATCCGATCCCCTCCCTCGTGCGATCCCCTCTCTTATGCGATCCCCTAAAACCAACGCCTTTAAGCCTAAACCAGTAGTTAGCGAGGTTATTTATATGCCCCTCTACCCTCGCTCTCCCCCACCTACTTACTTGGTCTTCGGCATTATTTATTCGTCCCCTGCGCTCGCTCTGCGATTAGTGTTTAATTATTTCCAACAGCCTTGCTACTACCATCTGCTAACTTACAACTAGCGCTCTTGCTGCCCGCCATGGCGAACCGCATGCCGCTTCCTTACCCAGCCGACACCGCGAACCCGCTCCGCCACGTCTTGGAGCTGCCTACGCCTCGGACTCCAGCCGGTGCTGCTGCCAGACACAACCAGCTCGCGGGTATAGCCGTAAAGTGGGATTACTTTATAAAACCGCACAAGGACTTTTTCTTAACGCACGTTGACCGAGTTGTACAGAACCTTTACAACGGCGGCCGCAGCGATATCCACGTAGTAGACATGGGGACATTTAGTGCGGAGGTTGTCGTGCGCATTAAATAAGTGGCACTGGTCACGGCACTACGGTTGGTATCGACGTTGCTAGGGACGTTTTGAAAACCAATGGGCGTGTCCCCGTGAGATAGAACGGGTTTAAGATAAATAAGAATCTGCCAACAAAACTGCGCATATACACTAGTCGGCCGCCAGCCTAGAGCGTACAGGGGGCGGGCGATTAGGAAGAGGCGAGGAGGAGTGTTACTTACAATAGTGCCGCGCGGCTGAGCCCTTGAGTCCAAGGAACGGCAGGACAGGATGGAAGAGACTGCCAGCGAGCAAGAGGAAGCTTGTGGGTAGAGTTGGTGTAAGGCTGGCGCAAGGGGGTGAGATGTAGAGGCGTCTGTCGAGCGTGGGGAGGATAGAGGGAGTTGTAATCGGAAAGTTAAGTATATAAGAGTAAGTTTAACTCGGTGCAGAAGGACTTTTTTATTTACCTCTAGAATCTGCTCTAAACTAAGGTGTTGTAATAGAGGAGCAAAGAAGCTTAAGAGAGAGAGAGAGAGAGCGTATTTTTAATAGCGAGCCAGGGTGAGCTCTATAACGCTGGCGCATCGGAATCGCCAGCGTATAGTAAGCGCCAGCGCCCAGGGAGCCAGAATAAGCAGCGCAGATTTATAAGACAGTACTGTAAATATTAAGAGCATATTATTACCAGTGCATCTTGTTGTCCAGGTTAACCTGGCAAAGATTGCATTTAACAGATTCTCCTTTCCTAGCATTTGCTAGGTGCTTTTTCTTAAAATGCTTGCACTCAGGTTGCAAATTAACGTGAACTCTGTCTTATTTCGGGGGCCCGAAGGCCAAACTATATACTACGTAGGAAGTAACTATACGCGTAGGCAGAAGCACTAATTAGAGATAGCAGTAGGCACGGTAGGCACGGTAGGCCACTATACCCTAACCCCTCTCTATAGAAGTTATAACTGGCTAGGTATATAGGCAGCTACTATGCCAGCAACTCTAAGTCTTGCTAAGATCGCCTGGGGTATAAAACGAGTATATGCGCAGTTCTGTCGGCAGATTTTCGTTACCCAGGCAAACGAAACATATCCTCGGCCTCGTTTCCTTGTACACAGATACCTTAGCTGCTTCCAGCGTTTGTGCAGATAGGTCCAGCTAGGTATTATCTTTGCTCTTGCCTGGTGGCGTAATACCACCGCTCAATTATTAGAGTTAAATAGGGTGCATTCCGCCCTCCTTAACCCTACAATATTCTGTAACAGCTTAGATAGCTCTATTACGCCGGCATATCTCTGCTTCCAGAGTGACTCCTGGCGGGGCCATAATAGCGTCAATTAGCTTTTTCTATGCCGGGAGCATAGCATACCAAGGCTGTCCTGTAACCATCTCGGTTTTAACTTTAATACCGTTAAGCTGGTGCTTAATATCACGCACAGGTTGCTCGTATTTGTAGCGTTCCTTAACCTTCTTAAGAAGCGCATCTCGTAGGAACTGCCTTTTCCGGATGATTTTGCGATTGTGCTCTTTATACTTTGGATGTCTTATGGTATTTAGGAGGGTATATTTAAGTCTCTCTTATTCTTAAAGTAGGAAACGTACTTTAGGATAATTATTTACTAATGCAGATTGTTCTAGAGTAAGCCGTTTAGGCCGTTAAGGATTAATCGAGCGACTTATAGTACAAGATGCTCGCATTAGTGCGTTTTAGAGCTGGATGCCTTATACAACAGCTTGTGTATCTACTGTAATGCGTCGCAAGAGATAGTGTTTTAAGAACGTCCGGCTATCGCGGTGCGTTATTATAAGGTTTTGCATAGCCTCGCTGACATTACCTATGCATTGCATTAATTCTACGTCTTAATTAGGACAGGTTAGGCTGAACTTACTATTTTTATTAAAGGCCTTCCCTTTATTATATCTTAACAAATAGGGACGGGTGATTTAGGCAAACCCCGTGATTTCCCCTAGTAATTTAATCTAGGGCCGCAACGTGGAGTACTAAAAAGGCTGGTCGGGAGAAATAGCCTAGCTGTTTAAGGTTCTTACAGGTTGCCGAAGTACTGGAATATTATCTAAATCCCTACAAAGGCGTAATGGTAGCTTATTGCGCTCTGGTGGAATATAAAGCCTGCTTAATTCCTCTTTAGATATTAGATTGTATGCTGCAAACGCCTTATCGCGGAAGAGCACCCTAAGAAGGGAGACGTGTGGACTAAAGATAAGGGACTTATTGTAGATAATTTCAGGGATTAGAAAGGTGTTCCTTGCCAATATTAGCATTCTCTTAGAAATATATAGATGTTAGCTAGAAGACTTGTAGACTTATATATTCTTTATCCTAAGGAACTTCTTAGTAAATTTAAAGGTGAACTCTAGCAACACCCGATAAGGCCCCCCCTCTGGATCCCGGAGTAGGGTAACCTGTATATGTCGATAGCGGAGTTTAAGAATAGCTTGTGGCCGATTCGCCGTAAAACTACTAAAGTGTAAGTAGATCTGGGCTTGTATCCTACACTGTCCGTAAGGATATCTCTTTTCAGTTGTTATAAGGTTTGTTTGCAGCACTTTAGTCTGATCCTTTATATATATGCAGGCCTTATCTCGCCCTATCTTCTTTAGCTTGTACTTCTTCACTAGTTTTCTCAGCACCTTATGCATGCTCCGGTTTATTTTGCTATTAATCTTGTTACTAGTCGCTCTTTTATATACCAGGCGCAATACCTTCCAGTACGTCCTAAAGGAGCTAGCGAACTTAGTACCTAGAAGTTTCCTCCCTCTCTTCCCTCGGCGCTAACTAAGTAGCTAGTTAAAAAAGGTATACAGTGTGCGGACGGACACGGTTGAATAGGCATGTAGGTTCTCTTCCCTAAGGTATATCCAGCATCTATACTATATTAGCGTTGCATATCTTAAGTCTAGCGCAGGTTAAAAGGGGAGAATGGAGACTAATAACCTACTAATTCCAACGATCTTCTATGCGATCTAGTAGGCTAGTAGTGCTATCCTTGTAGTCCTGTTCTATATGCTCTTAATTGTTAAATGTTTCTATCTGTTAAAGGAAGTGCTTAGGCGGAAGGTTCTTATTATTAGAGAAGAGCCATGCTTCGTTATCTGTACTATCGCTGTCCTCGTCCACATCCGTCAGATCCGTATCCGACCCCACACCGTCGTCTACACTGGACTCCGTATACTCGCTCTCCTCAGAGGAATCGTCGACTGGTGGACGATGGCGCATGTCGGTGCGTGGAGGTTGACGAAGGGAGAGGTTGCTAGAGAAGGCTTAGTGAACGGCGTGGTAGATAGTAGGTACGCAGCTAGTCGAGCGGAGGAAAGTAAAGAGAAGGGGGGGGCTCTGGTGCGCGGATCTATAGCTGACGGAGGAGCAGAAGGGTTTAAGTACGCCGCTGGCAGGGCGGCCTCGGTTTGGGACATGATGCGGGCGTTAAGAATAGACTGAGGTTGAGGCGGCGTGTCTCAGGACAGAAAACGGGCTCCAGGGTCCCTTCCACTGTTGGCGCCTACGCTAGCTAATAGAGGAAACCCGAAGGGCGCGTGCGCTCAAGCCAGTGCCGGCGCAGCTAGGGGGGTTTTGCGGCAAGTCAGCCTCACGAAACGGCGTTACAGCCCGCCAAAATCGGCGGCTAAAAGGCCGTCGGATTCTTTAAGGTAGATAACTTCGCATCTGTATATATTAATAACGTTCTTGTATATATAGACAGCTCTTAAGCTAAGTATTAAGCCTATATATAAAAGGTTCTTAATAAGCTAAAAACTAGAGGCCTTTAACTAGATATTAATAAATGCGAATTTAAAGTTAAATAAATAAAGTACCTTAGTTATATTATTAAGGCCGGAAAGGGTATTAGTATAGACCCTAAGAAAGTATAAGCTATTAAGAAATAGGAAGCTCTAAAAACTATTAAAGGCGTAAAAAGCTTCTTAGAATTTTCTAACTTTTACCAATAATTTATTAATAAGTACTCTAATATTATTGCACCCTTTATATATCTTATAAGGAAAAATACTAGCTTCTATTAGAGCTATAAAGAATAGTAAGCTTTTAATATATTAAAAGACTTATTTATATAAGAACCTATATTAGCTAATTTTAACCTAGACTATAAAATACTTATTAAGGCTAACTTATCTAGGTATAGTATAGGTGCTGTTCTCTCTTAATTTAACAATAATAGTATACTACGTCCTTATACTTACTTTTTATATAAAAACTCTTTAGTAGAGTTTAATTATAATATTTATAATAAGGAACTACTTATAGTTATATAAGCCCTTAAATAATAGAATATAGAGCTTCGGTCTATTAAAAACTTTACTATTATTACAGACTATAAAAACCTTAAGTAATTTATAATATAACGTACTCCATAAGCAAGCGGGCCACCTAAGCGAGCGGGCCACCCTATTACTAAAACGCGCTCTGTTAACTTTTAACTATTATACCTTAACAACACAACGCGCAACTAGTCCAAAGCGAAGGCCTAATATACCTAGCTATCTTAGCAATTAATAAGAACTAAATTTAAAGCGAGCGACAAGCTGCAATAACCTTCGAAGTCCCTAGAAGCACGCTTCAACAACAACGCGCCGGAATAACCTCCCGACGCGATTGCGAGCCCAGTTTAAAGAAGCTTATAAAGCTAGAGGAATTAGTTATTATTTAATATATAATTAACTTAGATTTAAGAGGATTTGCACCGCGGTTAAGCGCTATATAAGATATAGCTAATAAGCTGCTAGATAAGCGCGGTGCCGGCCAGGTTGGCAAGAATTAGCTATATAACTTTGTTAAGCGGACTAATAAGCTTTAAACACGGTTTAATTAAAAGTACAACCGCTAGAGAGCTCTATATAAAGATCTAAAGATTATTACGCTATAGTTTAAGCTTATACGTAATATAAAGGCAAAGTATAGTATTATAGATAATAACTTCTATAACTTTAATAAAACCGGCTTCTAGATAGGTGTTATTTTAACAGGAGTAGTTATTACAGGCTCTAAAAGACAAAATTAACTAAAAGCTATATAACTAGGCGATCGCGAGTAGGCTACTGTAATTAAGGCTATTAACGCTTATAGGTGGGCAATCCCGCCGTTTATTATCCTTACGGATAAGTACCACCTCTCTGTATAGTATAAGGGCAGCAATATACCGCTAGACTAGGCTATAGCAGTAAGCAACAACAGCTGGATAATAAATAAGCTTAGTGTTATATAGCTGTAATATTTTAATATATATATAAAGGACCGTACTATAGGCATATATTGCCTGCTTATTTTAGACGGCTATAAAAGCTATAACTCGCTTGAATTTAAAGAGCTTTATAAGGAGAATAATATTATCACGCTATATATGCCGCCGCACGCTTTATATCTATTACAGCCGCTTAATATAGGCTGTTTTACGCCGTTAAAAAAAGCGTACGGTCGCTAAATTAAGGATCTAGTACGCAACTATATTAACTATATTATAAAGCTCGAGTTCCTACTAGCTTTTAAAGCAGTATTTAACAACTTATTTATAAAGAGTAATATCTGTGCAAGCTTTTAAGGCGCCGGCCTTATGCCGCTTAATCTAGAGGCAGTGCTCTTAAAGCTTAATATTATACTTTATACGCTGTTGCCTGCCGCTGTAGAGGCTTAATAGGAATTAAAAACACTAAGTAATGCTTTTAAGCTAGGCTCTTAATTAGCATTAATTTGTAATCGTATTTAAATGCATTAAAATAGCTCTCCTACTGCGATTTTTAAGTCGCTTAATTCACTTATTAAAGGCGCCGAAGTATAGATGTATAGGGCTATATTATTGCGTAATTAGGTTATAAGCCTTTAAAAGGCAAATAAGGCCGCTATAAAGCGCAGAGAGCGCAAAAAAAAGCGAATTTAAAGGCAAGGAGTCCTAATAAAGGCACAGGGCTCTGAAATAATTGCTTAAAAGGAAGCTAATAAACAAATTAAGGGCGAAATACGTTAAAATAGGAGGCGCCCGGGTGGAAGTACACGGCAGCAAGCGCGCTGTAGGCGCTGCGGCAAGACAGGATATAACGCTTATACGTGTTAAAAAGATAAGGAAATTGTTGTAGATTAGACTGCAAGTTATATTAAGTTAATATCTATTGGCGTTATAGAGCAATTTATATTTTGCATCGCGTTTTAGTAATAGGGTGGCCCGCTTGCTTAGGTAGCCCGCTCGCTTATAGAGTACGTTAAAGAAAGCATTCTAAACAGTATATTAGATAGTTTATTATTTTTAGCCAGTATAACTTTATATTCTAATTTAGGGCTGGTAAGGACAACCTATATACTAATACACTCTTTTAATAAGAATAAAATATACCCGTAGATAGTACAGACAACCGGCTAAAATTAAGAATATTCTAATTACTTTCTATAACACCTCCACCTGTATATATTACTGCTATAACCCTGTCTTTATATTATAAATAAACTTAAATAGCAATAGAAGAGGGGGGTAAGCTTAATATACTTACTAGTAAATTTATAAAGTAGCCTACCCTAGAGGATAATCCTACTCTAGATTCTACTTTAGAATTATATAATAACTATATAAACTAAGAATAATATACGCCCGACCTTACAGCCCTATAGAAGGAAGCCTTGCTTAATAATAAGAAATATTATCGGAATATAACAGCTATACACCTAGAAGAAAAAAAGTTCCCTTTTATAAGTAAGTAGAAAGTATCTATATCTAAATATAGCCTACTACCCGGCAAATAAGAAAACTATAAAGATAATATTATTACCTTTAGAAGAAGGAAATAGGCACTAAACTATAAACCTCTTTATATAGAACTAATAGTAGAAGTATATACTTCTATACTTACGGCCTATTTAGGTAAGAACTTTCTTTATAGAATACTTAGTAGAGACTTCTTCTAGCTAGGAATATCGGTATTAATTTAAACTTATAGAAGGAATTGCAACCCCTGCGGATATACTAAACCCTAGAGAAATAGGAAATAAGAACTTCTAAAGCCCTTACCTATACCGGATTGCTCCTAAAGAGAAATTTTAGTTAATTTTATTATAGAATTGCCTAAAAGCCTTAGTTATATATTTCTTATAGTTATTACTTATTAACTAATAAAAGAAGTTATCCTAGTTCCTCTCCCTAATATAGAAACAAAAACTATAGTATAGGCCTTTATTTATTTCTTTTTCTTTTAATATAGGTTTGCTAGATTTATTACTTCTAACTAAGAAACTTAATTTATTAGCCGCCTTTAGAAAGCCTTCTATAAGACCCTAAATATAATAAGAAGACTTTTAACTAGCTACTATTTTTAAATAGATAAAGCAACGGAAAGAATAAATAGCACTATTAAATAAGTTATCTAAATGTTTTGTAATTAGAACTAAGACAACTAGGCTAATATTTACCCTATTGCTAAATTAGCTATTAACAAGCGCAACGCATTATTAACTGGAATAAGCCCCTTTTTCCTAAGCTATAGATATAACCTTAAAGTCCTGGAACTTAATCTAGAACTACCTAAGGTTCTCTTACTACCTGCGTAATTAGGATAAAACCTAGCTTATACGCTGAAAAAAGGAATTAAGCTTACCTAAGCAGTAATAGCCGCAGCCTAATAAAAATAAAAAAAGTAAGCTAATAAAACTTATATACCCGCTCTATAACTACAGGTTAGTAATAAGGTATAGCTTAAGCTTAGCAAGCATTAATTACTTAGTAGACTATCTAAGAAGCTTAACTAGATAAATATTAAGTACACTATTATAAAGGTTATAGGCTTATATACTATACGCCTTAATATACCTCCTAGAATAGAACCTATATTTTATATTAACTAACTCCGCCTTACAGCTTAAGATCCTCTTTCTAGCTAAGAAATAGATAATTTATAACCTTCTCCTATTAAAATTAAAGGCAAAATAGAGTATAAAATTAAGGCTATTATCTAAGAATACTATTAGAAAATAGGACGGGGCAAGTTTAAAATATATAAAGTTAAGTAGAAGGGGTTTACCTTATCTTATAATATAGATGTAGTTAATATAGAAAATATAGAGGCTCTAGATTATTAGGAAAAGTTTATAAAAAACGCTTAATTACTAAATTATAAGGGAAGAGTGCACAGCAGGGGGCTTATAAATAGGATTAACAACTTCGTGTATTAAGAGACGAATTCTTAAGAAATTATAATATATAGCCTGGGGCTATATATACCCCCGCCTAAGTAAGTATATAACTTGCAGAGGTTTTATAGGCTATACGCCTGCGTAGGCAGGCTGTATAAATTAGAAAGGATATATTTATATCCTATCTTATAGCTATATACTATAGGTGCTCTAGTTACCTTATACTACCCCCCTTTTAAAAAGGGTTTAACCTAAACCTATATAGTATTATATTATTCCTTAGCATTCTTTTAGTAGTTATCGAGGCCGCAGGTTATTACGTGCACGGACGTTACGTGATCGCGAGCCGAGGGTTCTTCCGCCGCCCAGGGTTCTGCCGGCGCGCGCTCAACTATATAGCAGGCTTGTGGCCGGAGCCTCTTTTCTCTCCACGCAACCTTATTAATAGCAATACAACCCTTTTCCAGCCACGAACCTAATACTAGGTTGCGTCGTTTTTTAAAACCTAGAAATATAGAAACCTTAATTTCTTCTCGCACAGCTATACTGCTGTGCGCGCGCGCACCTATACAGGTGCCGCTGGCCTTAAAAATCGGCTATACAATTACTAACCTCTTCTACTAACGTTTCCTCTTCTTACTTACTTACTTACTTACTTATTTACTTATTTCCTACACTTGCATAAAGCCTAGGCCTTATTATAAGTAATTAGATATACCCGACCAGTTTAATACGCCCGGTAGTAGGTAACTTTATAACTCTAATATTCTATAAGGTGCTAGGGGAGTTAGTTACCAGGGCGGTTACAATATATAAGGTAATATCTTTAAGAATAATAATAGAGATAGAGTACTACAGGTGCTCTTTACTTAATTATCCTTATATAAGAAGAATTGCAATAATAAGTGGCGTAAACGCATTAGTAAAATACTTAACAGTGTTATTAAAAATGCCTACCTAGACACTTAGGAGCCTACTACTATCGCGGGCGATTCCTAGCCGGACGGTAAGAACCCTATTAGCCTGGACCTCCTCCCTAATTTATATAATATTAACGCCCTTATTAAATAAATAGGGGCTATATAGTTCTAGAACTTTATACAGCTCCGGGCGTGGATTAATTAAAACCCCCGCCTAGCCTTCCGCCTGTTGCACTCTCTTATAGAGAACACTATAATCTATATTAATAAGTATAGGGTTACTATAGAGGAATAGAAGGCAATATTAGACTAGCTATATACTAAGTATAATAAAATAGATAAAAAGATTACTACCTTAAAAACCAGCCTTAATTAAGTAAATATCGACCTCTAAGCTACTAAGTTGTATGCATACAACCTCTAATAATAATAATAGTCTAAGCCTGCTATTAAAACTCCTAAAAAACCCGTTTATTTTAATAAAAATAGACGGCGCAACAACAACGTTAACTATTAGCGGATAAATAGCGGGGCCGGAGGACAGTCTCCTAGCAGGCCTAACAACTATAATTATGGCGACGATAGCTACGCTAAACTAGGATATACTCTACCTAAGGCCACTATGCGCGTTAGCGGTAACTAGGCTTATTGCTCCCCCTTTCTATATAGTAAGCGTTGTAATAACTAATATTATAATAACAGCAGCTACTATAATAGCTGCACCCCGCTATATACTTAGCCTCCGTTATTAACTTCTTTACGGCCTAGCCACCGCTGGCCAGACCTAGCTATATTTAATAGAATAGATGTTAATAGCTACCCTATCTAGCGCAGTAAGGTTCTTACTAAGATTTGCTATATATACCCTAATAAAACGGACAACTTTAAGCTTAATTATATTAAGAGCGTTCTAGCTAGTAGACTATTTAAGCGGATATAGGCACAGCGCTGCTAATATATTATCTATAATAAGACTAAAGCTCTGCGCTTCTTAAATAAAGGCTACGGCAAGTATAATATTAAGGCTAAGGCCCTTATATAGCTCGAAACTTTCTATATAGGCACTAACTTATTTACTATCTTCTATAACCGCTTCCTTAATATTATTAGCAACCTTAACCACGGGCAAGCGGAGCTTATCTACTAGTTCTATAAGCAACTTATACTATACTTATAATCTAAACTAGTTAACAGTATTATATATTACTGTTTCGATAATTTTATATAATATATCCGTACCTTAGATATATAGGACGCCGCTTTCCAATAATCTAAGCAATATAATACCCTTATATTCTAGCTCTATTAGACTACTGCGTTATCTATAACAACGGCTACTTAATCTACTTACGGCCGCGGCCGCGGCCGTAGAGAATACTTATCTATGCCTACGCCAGGAACTACTACTATAACTACCGGTACTATAACTGCTCTAAGCGCCCTGTGCACCTATACTATTATAGCTGCACCCGGTACTAAGCAGCACCTGTGAGCTATAAAGCTAGAGAATAAGCTAGCCTATATCTAGAGTATTAGTAAGCTTTCTCTAGAGGATAAAGAATATACTTATTAAGCCGGTGCTTATAACTATTACTATTGCGTTAGCTACTATACTACTAATAATAACTGTCCTCTTTAGAACTTCTCTATCTAGATAACTAGTAGTTTTCCTTTCCGCGCTACTAACACTATATTTTCCGGCCAGGAAAATAAGTAGTCCTTAAGCATAGTTGCGCCTAAGAACCTCTTATAATTAATTATAAAAATACCCCATTATCCACCCTATTATTAACCCCGTTATCTACCCTCTATTCTATACTAGCTTCTTCTAAGTGCGGTAACTTAGTTTCTACTTTAGATAACCTTCTACGTAAAAAGGCCCGGAAACCGCGTAAGAGCTGTTACAGGGGCACTAAATACAGAACACTAAAAAAGCACAGGATAAAAAGAACTGTAGAACCCCTTCTATAGCTTAATACTCCCTTCTAGCTATAGGAAGTACTTAAGTATATTAAGAATAAGGAAAGTTAGCCGGAACTTTGTATTTCCGCAATAGTAATTACCTATACTTAGCACAATATTATAAAGCTCTAGCCGAAGAAAGGTAGTTAGTATTTGCTTTTTTATTCTATAGTTTTAGATAGTAATTAAACTATTTACACTTATTCTTTCTTTAATAACAGTATAATATCCTTTTTTATTAATTAATTATTTACGCATAAATATAAAATTCATTAAATTCCTCTTAATTCACCTTATTATTTTACCTATATTAACGACTCTAATTCTTTCTAGTCCGTTACTTATGCTATAATTATTAATATTACTATAGGTTCTTATATAGAGCAGCTAGTCTGCTATATTACTAACTTAGGATATATACCCGTAGTTCTAGAAACTAACTAGTACAAAACTTATAACCCGGAAATCGACTTTATTAAGAAAAGCTTTTATTTCTATTAATTATAGTATTATAATCTTTACTATTACAGCAATAGTATACCTACAAAAATCTATTATAAGGGTGCTGTACAGCCCGCTGGACTAGCTAAGCTTTAGTCTATATTCTTATTCGCGATATCTATCGGTCCGATAGAACACTATATTTAACGCGCTAAGCCCGAAAACCTTATTTAGATCTACGGACCGGAGTTTATACCTATACTGGACAACTTCTTATTTAATACGCCCGCAATCGGGCACGTTATTAGCGTACCAGAGGACGATGGCACACTTAGACTCCACGCCCTTTCTATTAATAAATATAATAAGTTTATAAAGAAACGGAAAATATATTTACCTAAAAAGCTCCGCGCTTGCCTAGATAAACGCTTCTACCCCTAGATAGATATATAGTCTAGATAGAAGGTAGGAAACTTTCCTCTTTACTAGAAATATAATTACGCTATTCTTCTATAACTAAGATCCTCTTTACTAAAATAGAAAACCTATGCTATATTAGAAAAAAAGAACTGTATTATATATAATAAGCTATAGAAGCTGCTTAGTAAAAGCTTTATTAAAAACAGCAACTTTTCTATATACGCACTAGTGCTTCTAGTTAAAAAACCGGACGGAATATACCGCTTCTACGTTAATTACTAAGGCCTTAACGCTATTATAGTTAAAAATCAGTACCTAATTCCTATTATCTAGGAAACGCTTAATCGCCTCTATAAGGCTAAGTAGTATACTAAGCTAGATATTATTTCCGCTTTTAAACGCGTACGTATTAAACTAGGAAATAAATAGAAAACAGCCTTTATTACGCGCTATAGTATATTTTAATTAAAAGTTTTAGAATTCGGTATATATAACGGTTCCGGTATATTTCAGATATTTATTAACAATATCCTACGCGAATACCTTAACAACTTCTATTCCGTATATATAGATAATATACTGGTATTTACTAATAGAATAGAAGAAAAACACGTTGCCTATATCTAAAAGGTACTTAATCGGCTCTATAAAGCCGGCTTATATCTTAATATTAAT